TTTCCAAATTCATGATATTTTATCCACATATAAAATATTTTTGTTTTTGAAATACAATTTAGTCATCATGTATTTAATAAAAAGCCCATGTAATGGCATGAAATAACCTGAAAACCAGAAGTTGACCGTTTGTTTGACCTCCCAGTTTGAAATAACTGAAACAATTGAATTTTTTATACGGAGTAATTTAGAGTAAAAAAAAATGACAATGAATAGCCATCGGAATAGGTAAATTAACGCCCCATTCTGTCATTGAGCAGCGAGAACACATTATTATCAGACTGATACCGGCTGCTGCTGGCGGTGGACGTGGCGGTGGCAGTACCTCCGGTGCTTGTAAACAGGGCCCCAACTTCATCCGTCGTCGAGAAAAATCCCCCGCTGTTCTCGATCTCCGTTATTGACTCTCCCTCCTTTCCGGCCAGGGGAAGAGATGGGCTGGTGGCTATAGAGACCTCGCCGCAACTATCGCCGCTGCCGGAAGCTTGAAGAGTACTGTTCATCATCTTCTCCGCCGCTTCCTGCAGCTGCAATGCAAATTCAAGCCCCCAAACCACATCACTCATCGCCGGCCGTTCAATCCCTTGATCCTTCAAGCAATTACAGGCTATTTCAGCAAACTTGCTCAAACACTCGGGAGCAATATCTCCTTCCTCCTCTTCATCGCCTAAGAACAGTCTCGGGTCCACCATTTCCTCCACCGTTCCACGCCGGTAACTCTGCCTCGCCCACTCCGCTAAATTGACCCTTTCCTTGGTCAACGCCGGGATAACGGCAGGCCTTGCACAGAGAACTTCGAACAGGACCACCCCGAAGGAATAAACGTCTGATTTCTCCGTCACCTGTTGCCGCCGGTAGTATTCGGGGTCGACGTAGCCCACGCTGCCCTTCACGGCGGTGCTGACGTGAGTCTCTGCTCCGCCGAGTGGGCCCACCTTGGATAAACCGAAATCCGAAACTTTCGCCACCCATCTTTCGTCCAATAAGATATTGGTCGATTTCACATCCCGATGGATAATCGGGTACTTCGCGCCGGTGTGGAGGTAATGTAGACCCTTGGCCGCGCCGATGCAGATCTCGAGCCTCTTCTTCCATGGGAGGGGCGCGTTCTTCGTCTTGTAGAGATGATCGCGGAGAGTTCCTCTGGCCATGTAATCGTAGACGAGGAGCATCTCGCCGTGGTCGTGGCAGTAGCCGATGAGGGAGACGAGATGAAGGTGTCTGAGTTTGGACAGCATCTCGATCTCCGTTTGGAACTCGCGGATCCCTTGATTCGATTCCGGATTCAACCGCTTTATCGCGACGGTGGTTGCGCCGTTGTCTATGAATCCGCGGTACACCTTGCCGAAACCGCCTCTGCCGATCACGAGATCGTCGTGGAAGTTGTCCGTTGCCGATTTCAGATCCTCTAGTGAGAAATAGCGGCATAGATCGCTGGGTAATAACGAAGTAGCAGAGCCGGCGGAGATATTTGTTTGCGTTGATGCTGATAGAGGAGACAACGGCGGCGCCGCCCAATACGACGATGATTTGGTAACAGCGCCGCTGCTTCCGTCGGAGGTTGGATGGTCCCCCACCGATCTCCACCTCCTCCGTCTCCTTTGCCGCCAGATGATCGTTGAGAATCCGAATACCACTAACAGGCCAACTACGCCGACGCACGCTGCTGCTACTGCACCGGCATGAACGCCGCCGCGTTTCCTAATATGTCTCTGAAGGGACGGGGGAGGCTGTGGCGGCGATTGGGCGGGCTCATCCGGATTGGGAGCAGCAAAGCTCCCTGAAGTATCATTCAGCTTGAAAATCTCTAAACCATTTAAGATAGCATTCGCCCACACAGACTGGGATTCCATGTTAGGCCTTATAGCAAACGGAACGTCACGCTTCCGCCGGCGACCGTCAATTTCCAGCGGGGCCACGTAATCTACATAGTCCTTTAAGATCGGAATTCTGGAACCTCCGGCCAGCATAATAACATCCATGTGTCTCTCCGCCGTTGTGTTATCAATGTCGACTGAGAAAACCCGTTGATTCGCCATCGTGATCTCCTTCATGAACTCGCAGAAATAGAGCCTAAAGAGATAATTAAACCCTGAATCGACCGGGAATGTCCAATTGACAGCATTGCTGTAATTTGATATCGTCCTCGAGGTAGTATATACTGTCTCCGGAGCAGAGTACGCTGGCGTCGATGGAGTGTATTCGATGTCGACATCCAGAGAAGGCGTCTGATATCCATATCCGATGAGGAAGCTATCGTCGCTATACCACGTCCGGAACATCCCGGAGTCATCTTCCGGCGAAATGGTATTACCGCCAACGTTCAGCCTGTACACCGTCTCAAGCGCGGTGTTGTTGGAGATGTAAAATGGAGTACCAGATCCGACCCATGTTACCTGATCATCTTCGGCAGCCTCGTCGTCTTCCCCGCGTACATAATACCCCGTCGGAATCGAAACGATTTCGATTCCGTTTACGAATGCATAAGAGTTCGGAGAAGGAGTGAAGGTCACATTGAGCCTCTGATAATCATCCACGTTAACCATATACTCTTTGAACACAACAGGTGGGTCAACGCCGGAGACGACTGCGAGATACGCGCTGAAGTTACTCAACAGTGTTAGCTCATTAGCTGTGACAGAGAAGAACGCGTCAGTCTTATTGAAACGACCGTCGTCGGAATACTGCGCAGGGTAGAAGTAGAGGCGGAGGAACATGGGACCGGAGGACACCGGAAAGGAGTAAGTGAACTGAGAAGTAAAGATTCGGACGCCGGTGGTGTACGGCACCTGAGGGACGGAAGGGCCTTGCTCTGCCGCCGTGCGAGTCAATGATATTTCTGCCGCGTTTGGGGGGAAGAACTCTTTATGGATTTCGTCGGTTTCCCACAAACGGCCCGCGAATTTCTGGGTCATGGACGCGCCGCAGTTGAGGAGGAAGTGATCGGTGGCGTGGTAAGCTGGCGATTTAGAAGAAACAGGTAAGCCGGAAAAGACGCCGGAAATGAGTAAACAGAGTAGGACAAGCATGGCTTAAAGCTCCGGCCGGACTAACCAAACAAAGCTTACAAGCCTGTAGTTAATCTTTCTTTAGTACTCCTCCATCTTCAAACTAATAAGTATAGGTGGTTGGAGAAGTTATAACTAGGAACTGGATGTGGATTAGACGTACACCAGTTTTATTATGATGAATCGAAAGGTCATAGTGATTAATGCCCTAATTAATTGTGTCCCAATCTGACAGCCTATGTTTTCTTCATTAAATCGGTACAGGGACATCACAGAGGCCTCTCTTCTGTACCTTTCTTCATTAATTCTGATGATACCTTTTATCTGCAGATCGCAAATTCCTCGCACAAACTCAACTGGTTGAGCTGGATTCCGCATCGGTTCCAAACGGGGAGACAAACCTTCAAGGTATAAATTGCGTCCGTGTTGTCACGCCAGTATGGATATTGCAGCCGATTTAGTGTGAATTAATTTTTGCGAAATAAAAGATGTCATTTTGGCCTTGCTTGCGGTCTAATGTTGCATTTATGCGTCCAGATATGTTGCAATTGTGATGTGGTGCAATTGCATTATAGAATATAGATCTCAATCGCAATATAAGTCACAACACAATAACACATATTACAATCACCGATTTAAAACTATGCTATAACGAATTGTTTTTATATCAGTCTTTTGTTCTATTATGCTAAGCTAATTAATACTCCCTCCGTCCCGTTGGAATGTTCCCGGTTTGACCTACACACATATTAAAGAAATAAATTTACCAGAGGGTAAATTTTACTGTTTTGACACTGTTTGACACTGTTTTGATATAAGATAACTTTCCATTTAGGGAAATGTGAACTTTTTGGGACATCCAAAAAAGGAAAGCGGGAACATTCGAACGGGACGGAGGGAGTACTTGGTAGTTGGTACATGACTAGTATATGGCTACTAATAGAAAAGTTGAGCAAAAAAGAGACAACTTATAAATATAAATATAAGAGCGTCTACAATGTGCAAGGTGCACACGTGACATGAGAGACAACCACATAAATATTAGTAAATAAATTCTTTCTCTCCTTATTTGAATGTCAAGGAGACTGTAAATGTTCACATTGCAGTTGACATTGCAAGAAAAAACTAACCAAAATTGTATAAAATCATTCAAATAAGGAGAAAAATAATTTTTTTGCCAATATATATGTGCCTATAACTCATGCCACATGTGCACAAGTACATGAAAATAAATATTTATCTTGATGATGAAGTGTTCATCTTCTCAACTAAATGGGAAAGTTCATGTCAAGACCTCCAAAAACGGACCTCCGTATGGACCTCGGCGTTTGGGCCCCTTCCCAGTGGAATTTTTTGATGAAATTTTTTGAGCTTGTTCTTCATCAAGTCTAGTTTATCCATACCAAATTTTAGATCAATATTCCATCGGGAAGGCAGTCAAATGATTTTTGGAAGTTAACTGCATTTTATATGTATATAAAGTGCGCAGTTAATTTCCAAAAATCATTTTACTACCTTCCCGATTGAATATTTAGCTGAAATTTGGTATGGATAAACTAGACTTGATGAAGAACATGCTCAAAAAATTTCATCAAAAAATTCCACCAAGAAGGGGCCTAAACGTCGAGGTCCGTACGGAGGTCCGTTGTTTCCGGACAGGAAGACTACTCATTTAAACCATTATCAACATAATCAGCACTAATAGCATGCCTAAGGCTCACTTTACACCTCAGCGGGAGAAACAATATTGTATGGAGTATTTCAACTTATAAACAAACAAGACTTATTTCTCCTTCATTTGTACTCCGTATTATAAAACACAAACAAGAAAAAAGAAATCAGAACCATATGATTTCTCTCAAATTCTTTATTATATTTCTCTCATATTTTAACACCTTATCATCATGAAATTTGCTCTAGTCTTCTGCTTGCACGTTTATCCACATCTAACATTCTAACCATTCAGACTCTGGTGTGAGGAGAAGAAAAGTGTTTGTAAATAGCTGAAAATGCATACATTCAGATACATGTAAACGGAATCATTATATACTGCTTTACATGTGATGATGTGTACAGTGTACAACAGGCTGAACAAACTATCTAGTAAAAAGGGTTAGACTTTTACATTAATACAACAACAACAACAACCAACAAATTGGTAAGGATGATTGAGGAATCATATCGACAAATTATTGAATAATATCTAACACATCCTGGCAAGATGTAGGATTCGTTGGAGACACCAAGCTTGGAATGAAAGGAGACCTAAGCACTCCCTTATTGCTTGGTTTAAAGTTTGAACAGCAGCAATTGAGTCTTTGGTGCTTAAGAATTGAACAGCAAGTGAGTGGTCCATGACTCGTTATCTCACAGAAAGAAAACAATTCAAAGCAGCATGCTTCATAGGTTTGCCCAAGATGATCACAGAACATAGTGATGACCAAAACTAAGGTCACAAAGGAGGTTCTAAATCAAGTAAGTTCTTGATGCTGCATTTTCCATCACACGATGTTCTGCTTCATGAACTCAACACAATGTTGTTTTGTGATCTTTAAGAGATAACACTAGAATAGCATACAACATATGCTGTAGTGGACCTGCTGTTTTCAGGTGACGGGTCCCAATCAAAGTCTGCAAAAGCCATGAGGATCCGGCGAACACCACGACGAAGTACAAGCCCATGCTAAAGAGTGCATTTAGATAGTGAAGTATGAGATTGCCCCCCAACCAATGAAATTCCCCTAGTGAATGAAGAAATTGTGAAAGTTTCTTCGCCAGAAGCTTGTGAGTTGTGAGCAGAAGCCTTACATATCCAAATCATGAGACAAAAATTGAATGCATTGGCTTAACTAATTCCAGAGTCATTTCTGCAATGTTATCTGCATTTCGGGCACACACACACATCTATCAATCTATGCCTTAGCATAATGGCATACCCAACACCTCATTGCGAATGCCAAATAAAATAATTAAATAATAATCAGTCATCCCACCTTAAAATACCCTCAGAGTGACCCTTAATAATCACCATTACTATATCAACCCACTCCCCTCAAGGGTATTTTTTGCAATTCTAAAGGGGTTGTGTGGTTTTATTAAGTGCCCCATGGAGGGGGTATTGGAGCAGCATTTAGCGTAGATACTATACCTAATACCTTTTGCAGCATCTCACCTGTGTGTGAAGCGAACCCGGGGATTTTCATGTGCATCTTTGTGATAACCTCATAATGATTGAAAATCGGAGAACCTGATCAAAACTAAAAGTAGTTATGATATACCCAAAAAATAAGGATTACACAAAAACAAACCACCCATGACTTTCCATATTTGAAGAGTCAATTAGTTAAAACCCAAGAGTATTTATTAAAACCTAGATCAGAACTAAAATACAATGTTTTAAATCCAATGTCATCAATTGGCATGGTTACGGTAACCAGTAAACATTTTGAAGTATCTTGAACTGAATGCAGAGAACTTATGAGCCAAACCATACATCATTTTTCTAGGGAAATGAAAGTGGAGAGAATCAGAGACGTCCTAATGGTAGTATTCTTGTTGAGTGATTTGATTCTAATCTAAGTCGAAGAAAAAGGTAGTAAACAGTGGTGAAAGAGAAATGGAAGGCTTGGGTTGGAAAGAATAAATGCATAACTCCTTTGTTTTGAAACTCAATGTTTTTAAATTTTAATTTAATTTACCTTCTGTACATAGCCTTTAGTAACTTGTGTACTTCAATTGTGTTCATAATGTAGTTGAATTTATCATGTGGCAAACAAGGGTGGCAGATGTGGTTGGGAGATGATGATAACTCTTTCATTTATCATGTGGCTCACAATTATATCCGATTTCCGATTTCCGTGTGTTGAAGCGAAGGAGGCTGAGATCCTAGCCTGTGCGGAAGGTGTGCGGATTGCTAAAACATGGGTTAATATGCCAATAATTATTGAAGGAGACTGTGCAGCGATTTTTTCAAACCTTTCAAACTCGTCTAGAGGTGCTTCCAGATTTGGGGTCTTACTCCAGGAGTTAAAGGAGATAGCTTTGTCTTTCTCGGAGGTTCGTTTCAGCTTAGTTAAAAGGGAAAGCAACCGAGTAGCGCATGAACTAGCCCAATTAGCTAACAAAGGTTCGGAAGGGGGTTTCTTACTGCTTGATTCGCCGTCTCAGATTAATATGTTTCTTATAAACGATTGTAATCCTGAGTTTTTCTATCAATAATACACCTCTTTCCTTGCAAAAAAATTATATCCGATTTCCTTTTAAGAAAATCATTATGTGGTTAATATTGCTTCTCTCCTGTAATTGTATCTCAACCACACAATTTTTCCTAAATCTTCTTGCAAAGTAAATGTGTGCTCTTATTAAGTGATGGGGGGAGTACCCTCTACTAAAGTTTCAGCATCTGATTGTACATCACCATGCCCACGATAAAAAGCCCAAAATATGGGAGCTTTATGATAAAGTCGGAGAAAATGAATGAAAATCAGCAAAATAAAGGGAAACCATTTAATTACTACCAGAGCTATAGACTTGAAAGAGCACAGGGGAGCCGAGAGCCTATTATCAATTATTAAATTCATTCCGAAACCAGTGATAGACTTATAGCTTATAAAAGCAAATGATAAGGAAACTGACAAAATTTTGAAAAGAGCACAGAACATACCTGCTTCTGCCACATTATATTCTTCTGAGGTTTATAAAAATGACAAAGCACCAAAACTTTTGGCCATACCAAGGTAGCCAAACAATCTTGTTACTCATGATAAAGAACTCATGATACTTCTTGCCAGTATATTTGCTTGACTGAAATTCCCCTTAGAACAATGGAGAGCAATCAAAGAATAGTAAGTATCAAAGTTCACCAAATGGAATATATCAGTATCTAGGCTAGCAGCATTTCCCAAATCTGTTTCCAATTGCCCTTCATTGCATGTTTTGCTTTCTAAAGCACTTTTTTTGAATTCAACACTATCAAAAGCTTTCATATCAGATGGCTCCTTTAGCTTTTCTGATATATTCAATGAAGTAAACTCCTTTTCCACAGGAAAATATATGCATCCGACTTCATTAAGAATATCAACAGCCTCCTGGATGCTACCTTGTTCACATAACAAAGAAACAAAACTTTGTATAGACTCGGCTTGTGTTTCAGCTTCAACTCTGTCAAGTGTACTGATTACATGTTGATTTTGAAGCATTTCTCTTAAAATGCATCTAGATTCTTCCATCCTTCCCTTAGCACATAGCCCCCTAATCAAGCACATAAAACCTACAAAATCAGGTGATATGTTTTTCTCTTTAAATTCAGCAAACAATTGAAGAGCTCCCTCCATGTCACCTTTTTGGCAGCATCCATTAATAACTGCACTTACTGTAAATTCATTTGGTTTGAGACCCTTTACTTCCACATCACAGAAAAGATCCATAGCTTTCTGTACTTCACCTAGTCTAATATACCCACTAATTATGGAGTTATAAATATGGATATTTAAAGGAATGTTCTTGAGCAACATCCTCTCAAGCAACATCATGCAATCTTGTACAAGGCCCATTCTTGATAGTGTAGCAATGAGTGTGCCATATGTGATTACTGAAGGATAAATATCAATCTTCTCCAAGGAATCAAATAACCGAAATGCTTCAAGGAGACAACCATGACGGCACAGCGCATGTATAACTGAGTTGTATGTTACAACACTCAGGGTAACTCCCTTGCTCATAGCAAAATCACAAAGATTTAGTGCCAATATAATTTGACCTCCTTTGCAAAGGCCATCAATCACCATTGAGTAATCAACCACGTCCATGAAAGGCAGACTATTTCTTGCTTCAGTTATAAGCCTATAGGCATCAAAAGCTTGGCCATTTTTTGTCAGGGTCTTTAAAACTGCTACAGGAAACTCAACAGGGAATGATCCCTTAGAAAAAAAGCTGAGGGCACGGTTTACATCATCCATGCATAAGACATGAACTAGTATCTTGTTTACCATGACGTCAAAAATCCCATACGTTTTTATAAAAAATGTCAAAACTTGCCGACTCATACAAATCTTTCCATCATGAAGAAGTGCTTTAAGAATTAGGTAGTAAGTCTTGCATTTCACAGTTGATCCTTTACTCTTTAATTTTATTAAACCGTAGAAGGCCGCCTCTGATGCCCCACTCTTGCATAGGAACATAATTGCATCATTGCATATTAGATCATATATATCATGCACGACATGTTCCAATCTTTGAATTAACTCCAGTACTCCTTCTGCACCTTTGTCTCGAAATATAGTCTTAATGACCATTATGTTAACAGTGGCACTCAAGCCAATATTTCTTTCTACCAGTTCCATCAAAACCTCAACTGCAACATCAACAAAACCCTTTTTACATAGCCAATAAATAATGCAATGGTGACATGCTGCTGAAGAAGTATCTTTCTTCCGGAATTGATCAAATATCTCAAGTGCCAGATCCATCTGGTCAGCGTTGGAATATCCATCAACCATGGTTGAGTAAGTAATAATATTTGCCTCCAAACCTGAATCTTGCATTCCATTATATACAGAACGCACATCCTCTAATAAACCCATCATAAACAATCCTCTAATCAACACATTGCATATGGCAACGTCCAAACACACATCAGCTGTCTGCAGTCTTCTCCTAGTTTCTAATATCCCCATGAAATTTCCTTCTTGAATGTACCCATGTAACAGTGTAGTGTACGTGATAACATCTCCTACTATGCCTCTAGAAAAATCATCAGCCTCGGTTGTCCTCCCTGCTTTGCACAATCCATTGATGATGGCATTATATGTGACAACACCAGGCTTTACACCCTTCTTCTCCATTTCATCAAGAAGCTCAAAAGCACGGTGAAAATCGCCATCCCTACACACCCCATCAATAAGTATTACATAGGGAAATTCATCCAATTCAAACCCTAGATTCTCAACCACCTTAAGCACTGAAAATGCCTCATTTAATTTTCCCTTCTTGCAGAATCCTTTCATAACTGCAGTATAAGTGACTAAATTGGGTTCTAAACCGTCCTTCCTCATCTTGTACAAGAATCCTACTCCTTTCTCCACAAACCCTTCCTTTGAAAATCCATCTATAAGTATTGTATAACTTACTATGTCCAATTCCATGCCTGCCTCAACCATTTCTCTGTATCTTTCTAAAGCATCATGAACCTTTCCTTCCCTAGAGTACCCATACATCCAATTACTGTAAAATATGGTATCTGGTTCTAAGCCATCTATCCCCATAATTTTGACCAAACTCCAGGCATCGCTAATCCTACCTAGTCTATAATATGCACTCATTAGAGAAGTATAAGTGAAAACATTAGGTTTCAAAGAACCCGAGTTTACAGCATTATCATAGAACTTTAGAGCAAGTCCTGGCTTGCCAACAGTGACAAAAGCACAAATCACATAGTTGCATAAAAAATTATCAATAGAGTGCTGCATTGTCTCATCACTCGTCATCTTTAACACCTGAGTAACTCCATCCATCATTCCTAGATAACAAAAACGATAAAGTAGCGAATAAATAGTACAAGAAGAAGGCGTAATACCACCAATTTTCAAACAATCCCTCAGAATAGAAAGTGCCATTTCAGGTTCTGTCATAGAGAGGCCCTGAACAAGAGAATCCAAGATTTGAGTTCGGTAATAGTTATTGCAACTTTTCACAATTTGGGTCTTGGCAAAAATAACTGCTAGTTCAATTTGTTGGTCTCGGAGGAGCGCTCTTGTGAGGATTGTCTGAGTTAACGAGTTCATTTTGAGCTTGTTTGACAGCATTTGAGAGACTAATAGGATTACTGCGCTGAACTTTTTGGTTCGAGAGATGAACAGAAGGCATTGATTGTAGTCTCCTAGAGTTGGAGTAAAACCACTCTTGAAGAGAGTTGGGAGAGATGGGAAACTGCGTGATTTCGGGACCGTGTTGAGCTTCCGAGTCATCATCTGAATTACAGTTTAACTGTTCTGTTCGAATTTGATGAGAGTTGTTGGCCGTCTTTTCCATCTCTTTTAAGCGGGCCGTAAGCTCGTCAGCTTCATTAGGAATTTTGCTTCTGCATAAAATTTGATCGATCAGAATCAATAATTAGAGAATGCGACTAGTGAAGACAGCAGTTGACTAGTTGCCGTCAAGTTACAGGCTGGAGAAGAGTTGATGCGCATGAGGGGAGATGACTTCTGACCTTTGGCCTAGTTAGGCTGTACTCCCTCCGTCCCGTTATTAACTTCCTACTTTCCTTTTTGGGCCGTCCCAAAATAATCTTCTCATTTCCCTAAATGGAAAGTTACCATATATCAAAACAGTGTCAAACAGTGCAAAATAGTGTCAAACAGTGTCTAAACAGTGCCAAACAGTGTTTAAACAGTAAAGTCAAATTTATTTCCTAAATATGTGTGTAGGTCAAAGTAGGAATTTAATAGAGGGACGGAGGGAGTATTTGTTATTGCTTTTTAAAGGAGAACTATCACACTAACGTTTGAATCTCAGATAGAATATTTAGGTTTTTACTAGGCCAAATAAACACTAATTTGAATTTATTTGTTTATTTTAAATCATCCATTAACATTCCCGTTCTAATGCCTGTTTCCCCATTAGCCAGCCCCTTTTCCTTTGATTAAGGATGTTTTCTTTTGGATTGAAATTTGCTGGTCTGGTCTGATCTGGTTTGGTCTGGTCGGGTAAACGTCTGGTCTCTGTGTATTTTATAACTACGGAAGTCAAGTCCGGTCTGGTCTGATCTGGTCTGGTCTGGGACTGAAAACAGTCCAAAAGAAAACATCCGAAACTCACAAACCTCGAGTGCAACCCTAAGCGAATTTTCATGGCATGTAAGTGCAAGTTGCCTTAGAAGGAACACAAGATGAAGTTTTATGTTTACTGATGGACTCCGTTGAAACGCTCTAAGATACCCCGTTCCGTATTATTTTTACTGTGGAAATGAATGGGTTGGTCGATCTGAGGTTTAATCATAGCGGGAGGTGGGTGTTCAAGACTTTACATTACGTTAATGGGTACGTGGATACAATATATGGATTTGACCCTAATTATTTGTGTTATCATGATGTATCTCGGAAATATAAGGATGATTTATGTTTTAAAACTCTAAAAAACATTTATGTGTTAGAACTTGGAAAAGATATGGAAAATGGGCTGTTTTTAGTTCAAGATGATGACACAATAAGGAAGGTGTGAAATCGTATTAGAAGTTACTCTTGGATTGATGATATTGAATTGTATGTTGATCAACGGGATGAACTTCTTCTAATTCCCCTAATAGAAGGGTGTAGTGTGCCAAAACCACAGTTTGCTGAAAACGAGAATGGGTTGGGTTCTGAATCTGCTACTGAACATGTGAGAGATGAAACTGGTGAAGTAAACATTGGTGGTGTCCCTAATGGATATCAAACGGATGAAGAATCAAATGGAAGGCAAGAGGAGGAGGAGGATGATAACAACAAATATGATGATTCCTCGGATGATGAACCTAAAGTGAACTATGCTGCAACAGATGGATCAAGTTACTTTATGAATGGAATGACATTTGAAGATGTTAAGGAGGCTCGCACAACAATTGCTAACTATGGGGTCACATTTGGTTATAAGCTGAAAATTAAACCGAATGAGAAGAACCGATTGGCAGTCAAATGTCTGAATGAGGAAGGTCATTCATTTAGAGTTTGGATATCTCAAGATTGCAAGAATTTTGAGTTGGCAGTGAAGGTGTGTAATCCTGAACACAAGTATTTCAGGCATTATTCTATTCCATGTGCTAGTCCAAAGTGGTCGGCAAATTATTTCAAAGGCCAATTGAAAAAAAAAACAACTTTTGAGTTGCTGATGTGAAAGAGGAGGCTGAAAAAGTAGTTGAAGATAAATGCGAGCTTGTACAAATGTAGAAAGGGCAAAGAGGCTGATTATTCAAGAGATGGATGAGAGTTATAAAGCCGAGTTTGCATATCTAGAGGCCTATGCCGCCACTTTAAAGAGAAGTAATCCAAATTCTAAAGCTAAAATACAATTATTTCCTGATGCATTGAAAGAAGGTAGAAGAGTCTTTAAAAGGATGTTCATTAGTTTTTCTGCTTTTGAGACAAAATTGGCTGGCAAGTTGCAAGAGGATCATAGGTGTTGATGGTTGCTTTTTGAAGGGCGCGTGTAAGGGGATTTTACTGAGTGCAGTTGGGGTGGATGAAGATGGATAAATGGTTCCCATAGCATCGGCTATAACTGACAAAGAAAACAAGACCAATTGATGGTTTCTGACGTGGCTTGTTCAGGAACTAGACCTGAAAAATGGTGTTGATTTAACCTTTACTTCTGATATGCAAAGGGGGTTAATCATTGTAGCTTAGGATGTCATTCCAGATGTGGAGCATAGGTTATGTGCTCAACATGTTTATGCAAATTGGTCAAAAAAGTGGGGAGGTGACATGTTTTGCAATTTTTTTTGGATATGTGCGTGGAGAACATATGAAGAAGAGCTGCAAATGAACTTGAAAAGGATTGGAAAGTTAAGCACTGAGTCCTATTGAAATATCCAATTCAAACTTGGTGTCGGGCCTACTTTAATAGCCAAATTAAATCTTAGATAGTTGATAATAACATCACAGAGTCCTTTAATGCATGGATTCGAGAAGCCAGGGCAAAACCCATTGTGAGCATGCTAGAAGATATAAGTTTGAAGACAATGAAAAGAATTTCTTATTTCAAGGCATCACATGAGAAGTGGATAAATGATTGGTCTCCCTCCTGTATGGAGTGTTATCAAGCTAACAAGGATGATGCAATTGGCTACAATATAATTTTTAATGGTGACATTGGTTTTGAGATTGGAGAGAGTGAAGATAAACACAATTTGCTGTTAGATCAGATGATATGCAATTGCAGAGCATGTGAATTGACTGACATACATTGCTCACATGCCATTTGTGCTTTATATTATAATAATAATAATAATAATAATAATAATAATAATAATAATAATAATAATAATAATAATAATAATAATAATAATAATAATAATAATAATAATAATAATAATAATAATAATAATAATAATAATAATAATAATAATAATAATAATAATAATAATAATAATAATAACAATAACAATAATAATGTAGATGTCATGACATACATATCTAGGTGGTATCATAAAGAAACTTATGTGGCAGCATATCAGTACCCTTTGCAACCTGTTCCTGGAAAAACATTCATGAAAGTGGATGAATATGAACCTATTCTACCTCCACCAGTGCCAAACTTACTTGGTAGACCAAACAAGAACATGGTTAGAGCCTCAAATGAAGTCAAGGGCAAGGCCCGAGAAGTGGTTCAAAAGTTGTTGCTACTGTATCTCCTAGAGCTTCAAGAAAAGGGCAAGTCCAAACTTGTGGGATATGCCATGTGGAGGGACATAGGAGAGCAAAATGTCCAAATAAAGACAGAGATGTAATGTTTAATTAGTTTTTGAGTTTTACCTTGTCATGCATGAAATTTATAATATGTATAATATTATGAAAAGATGTATGTATAATATAATGAAGTTATATTATGCAAAGTGATATAACATATATATGTATAATATTATGAAATATCATGCTTTTGAGTTATAATATGAAAAGTCATGCTTTTGAGTTATATGTATGTATAATATGTCTAAATAAGATGTAAGTTATATTCTGAGAAGTGATTAGGGTATATACTGAAAGGCCTGCTTCTTTGATTTTTTCTCAAGTTCCTACCACCACACAAATGCCACAACCACCAATAATTCCAATGGAAAATACTGAAAGGACTACTGCTAAGTCCAAGCTGCCATGGAGGACAAAAGGTAAACAACCAGTGACAGGTTTTGGCTACTATATTGATGTTAACACGGGTGCAAGGACTATAAATGTGAGTTCTATATACCTGAAAGTGTTAGTTGTTCGCTGTTATGAGTATTTCAGTAGTGTTTATTGGAGGTCTTATGGTCTAACTTCATATCCGATTACTCGTTAATGGTTGCAGCCTGGGATGGACGGTGAACAACTTGTTTCTGAATTGCACAATGAAGTGAGACATGATCCCGATGTTACTGTCAAATTTGTTATTCCAAATGAGAAGGAAATTAGAGGTGCTACGAGAGTTGAAAACAGATTGATGCCCCAAGTTATAGTACAATAACTTTCAAAGGTGATGGAGCACAAGGAAAAAATCCAACTAACCTACCATTTGAAGCACTCAGTTTGAAATGGAAAGGGAAGAAAGCAATTAGCTCAATACATTTGTTGAACAAAATGCAAAGGAGGGGGGCTTCTTCAGTCCACACTGATAATGTTGAACCCACACTTTAAATAGAGCAAAAGGAAGACTTGGATGTTGTATAGGCACACGTTTTGGATGTTATTATAGCTGTCAGTTTTTTGGTAAAGTAGGTGGTGGCGTTAACTTTTTGTACTTGTGTCTACATTAACCACGAAAGCTGAAGACCTACATCGTCGAGTGGATGCAGGCAATGAACACATTGATACCAAGCCGAAGACGATGACCCCGTTCACACGGTGGCTTTAAGGCATCTAAATCAAAGCATATGCAAGAACGTCGGACCCAAGATCATTTTTTGCATTATTATGCTGACAAGATAATGATTGAGGTGTTGGAAGATATAATTTGTCGATGTTTCCTCGCTACGTTGGAACCGTATGTGAGTGGTTCAATTCTCTTCCCCATTGCTCCATTAATGATTGGGATAAATTAATTAAAAAGATTCTTTCATCAATTTGTTGTAAGAAAGAGGATGAAACAACACTATTCACACCTCTTGACCGTGAAACAAAAGAAAAGCGAAGACTTGGAAAATTTATGATACGATGGAGTGAGTATTGATCGTACATTTATGTCATGGGGCTGTTTCTTCAAGGCATGAGTGTTTGTGGGCTTGCAAACTACAACATGTTCCCATAAAGAATGGGTGCTTTATAAGATAAGTTATGGCAAATGAATGGGTGCTTTATAAGATAAGTTATGGCAAATGAATGGGTGCTTTATAAGATAAGTTATGGCAAATGATCATTTTAAAAGAATCTTAAACTCAAATATTATATTGAAAATTCGTAATCCGGTAATTTAACTTAGAGACATTTTAAAATGCATGTATTTGGGACAAAGCTAAAA